ATNNNTATATATATATATATATATATATATATATATATATATATATATATATATATATATATATATATATATATATATGAAACCTTTTTAAAAGGGAATTTCATCAAATATTGAAAACTTCCACTAACTTGTGTTTGTAATTATTTTATTTCAAATTTTTTTGCAATATTATAAAATTCATTTTTCTTTTTTTTTACAAAAAAAAAAAAAAGACAAATCTTAGAAAAGATTTAGCAAAAAAATGTTGACAAATATATGGAATAGATTTAGCAAATAAAGCTTAACTTAACAATTATTTTCTCAGGCATTTCAATAATTTTGCATCAAATAAACGTGGAAAAATTTTTCATTGGAAAAACGATAAAATAATGATAAACAAAATAAATTGACAAAAGAAAAAAAAAAAAGAAAAACGATAAAATTTTTTTTCTGATAAATAAAATGATAAAAATGAGAAAAATGAACAAAAACGAAAAAAAAAGCATTAAAGAAATGCTGAAATAAAATAAAAAAAAAAGAAACATATAATTAAAAATTATTTTAAATCATTTATAACTAAATTACATTAAAACAAATTTTGAACATTGTCATATTTTTACGTATTTTTTGTAAATCAAAAAAAAAACAATTAAAATTATAAAATTAAAATTGATTATATTTAAAAATTTTTATTGTAATATGCTAAAAAAAAAAATGGAAATTCATTTTTTTACTCTTCAAAAATATCACTCATTAAATATTGAACAATGTTGACATATGAAGGAAAAAAAAAAAAAAAAAGAAGAAATTATTTAAGATATAATTAATTTATTAATCCATTATGTCATTTTTTTTTCTTTTTTTTTTGTTTTATTTTGTTTAGATGATTGATTCATTTTAGTGAAAAAAAAAAAAAAAACAACAATTCAGTATGTGCTTACTATTTAAATTTTTTCTGAAAAAAAAAATTTATTAAATTTTGAAATAAAAAGAAAAATTAAAATTATTTAAAAGCTTCTATTCTTTGTTTTTTTTCCGCTTTTTTTTTTCTATTCGTTATTTAATTCTTAAGAAAGAATTTTGATTATCTCTCTCTCTCTCTCTTTCTCTCTCTCGCCCTCTGTTTGCTTCTTTTACCCTCGAGAAGAAAGGGAAGGAGAAAGGAGGAGGAAGGGAAAGAAAAGAATATGAGGGATAAAATTAGTTGAATGAAAATGAGAAAATGATATTTGCATTCAATTCATCCAGAAAAAAAAAAACGAATATTAATGGTCAGATTTTTTAATTTTAAAAAAATGGCAAAAATTTTATATGCTAATGGCAATAAAACTGAATAAAGTGGCTGAATTTGATAATTAAATTGTTACTTAAATATTTATAATTAAATTGGTATTTAAATTTATCATTTATTTGTTTTATCTTTTAAAATGTTGTAACATTTTCCTTTTCTTTTGTGTTTTTAAACGATTTTGAAACATTGCAAAAGAAGAAAGAAAAAAAAAAAGTGATTAGAAGTAAGTAAAAGTTATTGAATTTCTATCATTCTTATTTTTTTTTGCTTTCTGAAATGTTATTAATTTAATTAATTATTTTAATTAAACGCTAAATGGTACATTTTATTGGTTTAGAATGTTAAAATATGCAATATTTTTGTTATGTAATTTATTATATTGTAATTTTTGATGTGATTAATTGAAAAATAAATAAGAATTTCGTTTTTAATTATGAATTTATCAATTAGTTTTGATATTTTTCTTTATTTAAAAAAAAGAGCAGAATTACAAGCATAAAATTATGATTTGGTAAGAACTTTTAATAAAATTAATGATAGCAAAAAAAAAATTTTTTTTGAATTATTTATGGCTATTCAGAATATCAATTACAGGTATAGGATTTTCAAATTAATGCAAAACTCCTAAAGCTTTAAAATTTATTAAAAAATTCTGAAATTTCGCTTTAAAATTTTGTAAAATTTTTTAAAAAAATTTCATTTTGCTAGAAAAAAGAAATTAATTTAAAATATTGGAGTATTTTAAATTCTAAATTTTCACTTCAATATATACTTTTTAATTAAAATTTCAAATAATCACGGAATGTTTCAAGTTAACTTTCACTGAACTGAAACACGAAACTTAATGTTGCAGTTTATTGTTTTATTGAATGAAAATTATTGAAAGGAAATTTTTTCAAATTTTCTTATTTCTTCTTTCTTAAATCGAATATTTGATTAATTTTAGTCAATTTGAAGCTAAATTTTGTTCTTTTTCCAGACAATTTTTAATAAAATTTAACTTAAAATTCATAAACAATTGAGGAAAAATTCATTTTACCAAAATAACATGTTAATCCAATTTTATTTCTGCAAAATTTTATTTATTTTTTTCAATACTTATCATATAAAATAATTATTTACTTATTCATTTCATTTATTTATTATTACTTTTTATTCGTTTATTTATTATTGCTTATTATTCATTAATTTATTACTATTTATTATTATTACTTATTATTCATTCATTTATTATTACTTATTATTCGTTTATTTATTATTACCTGTTATTCATTGATTTATTATTATTACCAATATCAATTTCAACATCATAATTATTCCACTTTTTTTTGTTTTTTTGTTTTTT